CTGGCTTCATGATCTCTTCTTGATCTCTTTAAAAAGAGAGGTGGGTTGAGCGTAGTAAGTCAGTCGTGGATATATAAATGTGAACATCCTTGCTCTAGAAACAGTAGCAGTCGTCATAGCAGATACTGTCCGTCCATCCTCCCCTGCATTCGGATCCGGACAAACAACTGAACATGGGGACATATCTCAGACGTAGAACTAGACAAATTGAATCAAAAACATGCCCCTATATTGTAGATCTCAAAACTGTCTGCCAAAATTCGGAGCAGAATCGGCTTTGAAGGTGATTGACGTCGACTGGATAACCGCCGGTATGACACAAGCAGCTTTCTAGTATTTCCATATCATTTTCAGAGACGTAGTTCGTAAAATCAAAGTTCTCATTGCATCACTTAATGGCTAATCTCTAGAGGTTAGTTGAAATGAGGGCCATAGTCGGTATAGCTGGATAATATCACGTGACATATCTCCGCGGAGTTTTCCTTGGCGCGCTAAAAATTGTATTCTACGGGCAAGAAAAAAAGTTCAGAAGCAGAAAAAAAACGTCAGAAAACGATTAACACCACGAACGATAGTATTCCACAATATCACCGGAATGATTGTTTAGCGACTGGCTCTAACTCTTGAGCCAAGGTAGATATCTTCCTCATTTGACGGATCTACCCTCCTCGCTTCCCTTCCTTTCTACTTCGAAATCTTCAAGACCTTGATCGCAATAAGGTAGCCAACAATGGATATTCATCGCTGCCGTTTCGTGCCTTACAACCCCCAGGCGATCAATGCGCTCTCATTCTCTCATCCTCCCTCCGCAGAACTTGCCGGTCGAGGTGTCCCTACCCTCCGGCTTGCCATCGGTCGCGCAAATGGCGATATCGAGATATGGAACCCAATGCGTGGCGCCTGGTTCCAGGAGACGGTTCTGCGCGGAGGAAAAGACAGAAGTATAGAAGGGCTTGCATGGACTCTCGATCCCCCAGAGACTGGACCTGACGGAACCAAGATTCCTGGGAAACTGCGCTTGTTCAGCATAGGATACTCGACCGCGGTAACGGAGTGGGATCTGGAGCAGGGCCGCCCAATGCGTCACTCGAGCGGAAACTACGGTGAAATCTGGTGTATAGCGGCGCAACCGAGATGGCAGGCTACGAAGCGTGGCAAGGATGGGAAGCCTCTGCCACCTGCAGAGGGAGAGTACACCGGGCAGCATCTCGCGGCTGGATGCGCAGATGGCTCAATCGTGATCTTGTCTACTGCCGACGGCGACTTGAAATTTCTACGGCTGATGCGTCCATCTACAAGGAGAGCGAGAGTCCTTAGTGTCACTTTCCAGAATCGCAACACCATCGTGGCTGGTTATGCGGACAGCTCGATTCGACTATTCGATATTCGGTCTGGGCAGCTTCTACGTACAATCTCTCTCGGTAAAGGACCGACTGGTGGTCCCAAGGAATTACTGGTTTGGTCAGTCAAGTGCCTTCCAGACGGTACCATTGTTTCCGGCGACTCCGCAGGCGAGATCCGGTTCTGGGATGCGAAGAATTACTCCCTTATTCAACGTATACAAGGTCATCTAGCAGATACCCTCGATGTTGCTGTCAGCGCCAATGGAGATACAGTTGTCAGTGGAGGTGCGGACCAGAGGACGGTTGTGTATAGGAAAAGTCCGGCAGAGAAAGGCGAAAAGAAGGGAAGATGGGCTGAAGTGATGCACCGTCGGTACCACACCCATGACGTTAAGACCTTTGCTGTTTACGAGACAAGGGATATCAGTATTGTTGTTTCTGGAGGTAAGATACAACTCCCTTTACTTTCTCTTGTGATGTTTTTCGACGAGTTGACATTCCTTAGGTCCCGACGCCTCACCTGTCGTACTCCCACTGCGTGAATTCGGAAAAGAACATCACAGGAAGCTCTCCAGTCTGCCACAAATACCTCAACTGGCCTCTTCTCCTTCCTCTAGGCTTGTGATGAGCTTCTGGGACAGAGAGGTTAGCATCTGGCGCGTATCCCGTGGCCCAACCTCACCACATGATAATTTGGAGGGGCAGAAGCATCGACTCGTCGGAAAGGTTTTAATTCAGGTGAGAATGCAAAATACCCTTCCTGCAATGACAAGCTGCTAAGGCGTGCCCTATCGCTTTATCACAGGGCGAAGAAAACATCACGTCAGCGATGCTCTCCGTGGACGGAAAGATTCTTATTGTTGCTACGGTCTCCGAGGTCAAGGTTTTCTCCGTCCGGCGACGGAAAAGTGATGAAAGGGGGGCTTTACGCATAACAAAGTTGGATATTCCTGCCGCTTTCTCTGAGGATGGTGCACGAGCTGTGGCCATATCACCGGACACCCGGTGGCTCTGTGTGGTTCGACCTAATAGCGCCATCTACCTGGCTAGGGTCATGCCTGCTTCGTCTCCTCAGGAGAAACCACAGATCTTACCACAGCTTGTCAAAATTGACAGGGCGACTCGGCACACTCGTCACGAGAAGGCTTCCCATGGTACTCTAGGGGACTACGAGAGAACTGTCCGCTGCGTTGTCTTTTCCGAGAACAGCAGAATTCTAGCGACTGGTGACCTTTCTGGCTGTGTCGATACCTGGTTCCTGAAGACTGTCGAGGACTCGTCTTCAGCAGCTGCCGACAAGCGCAACGGCGCTGCGGATTCTGACGATGAATCTTCGGACGATGAGGATGATCGACCAGTGATAGACGGAGAGCGCTGGCAGTACGCCAATGCTGACTCACCTATACCCAGACTCAAATCTGGGGTGCTTTTGCTCTCCTTCCGCCCTCAAAGCCCGGCAGAAGCAAAACTTCTCACGAACGGTACTGACCAGTCTTCCCAAAAATCTCTCAGAGGCGAGAGTCGATTGATGGCTCTCACGAGTGAACATCAGCTTGTGGAATTCGACGCTCTCGAAGGAAAGCTATCGGACTGGTCAAGAAGGAACCCCAAGGCTTATCTTCCGGAGCAATTTAAGGGGGTCAAGGACCGCGCAATGGGCTGCTTGTGGGATCTTTCCGAGTCGCGTGACCGCCTGTGGTTGTACGGTACTTCTTGGTTATGGATGTTTGACCTGAACCAGGATTTTCCCTCTTCGGAAGAGTTGAAGGAAACCGCAGATGGCCACGAAGAAGGAGACTCTTCGACACAGCTCGTTAAGGCATCTTCGGCTCACAAGAGAAAGCGTGAGCAATTAGAGGAAGAAGAGAAGAGAAGAAAAGCGAACAGCGGTGCTGGTGATCGAATGTCACTGGCTCAATCAGATGTTCACTTTGGCTCCAAATATCGCAAGATCGAAGGACACGATGATTCCAAGGGAGAGTGGGTCTCCCTAGACAAGGAGCGCCCACAAGCAGCAGGAGATGAAGAGGCCTTTGAATATGACGAAAACTCTACAGCAGGCCATGACGCAGCTTTGGCGCGACTCAGAAGAGGAAAGCTTGAGGAAGACGAAATCAGCACTCCGCGAAAGCGAGTCTCTCTTGGGCCTCGCGATAAGCTTCTCTCGCTCAATGGATCCAGTGATACACCGGCTCGGAAGCCAAATGACCACGACGTGCTTGACACGCCCCAGAAACAATTGGTGCAGTCGAACGGACCTCAACCGGCACGTCGGTGGTGGTACACGTACAAGTACCGTGACCTACTCGGCATTGTGCCTCTGAGCCCTTCGTCGACCGAGGATGGCGTCGAGGACGGTACTGCTGGCAATACGCTGGAGGTTGCCGTTGTCGAGAGACCTATGTGGGACGTTGAGTTGCCAGGTCGCTACGTCAGGGATTACGCATAGGCCGCGAATCGATTTGTTTGCAGAAGTGTCTTGAGGAGAAATCTAGGCACCAATGTTTGATCGTTGACTTTGCGAATCCCATTGGCGAATGTTCTATTTTATACTCGGAATTCGCCATTGAACGTCATACTCTGCACATTTTGTCATCTGGCGCTATGTATATTTTTCTCATCTGCCTATCTTTTTCGACTTCTGTACTCACTTGGCGAGCTGGATAGGTCTATTTATAAATGGATAAAAGTTTATTCTTGGAATGAACCTTTGCCTTCTGCCTGTACCAGTGATGGTGAGGCTGCAGGCAGTGTCATTAGCTCTTTTAGCCTTAGGCACCCAACCGACCCGCAGGTGATCTCGGCACCATATCGCCAACATATGACCTCCGCAGTTTCACCTCTGATGCCTGGTCCTATTTCCACGCAATAAGCCGTTTAAGTCCAGGCATCAGCTTAGTTGCTGAACAAACATGATGAATTGAATCACATTCGCTCCAGCGAAGCACGCTTCAACAGGCTGCTCTTCAAAAGCCTGCCTTCAAAGGCGAGTTACAGAATGAACCTCAGCCCTATGCTCCAAGTCTTCATAAACCACGGCAAGGACTTGGGCACACCCAGCTTTCATTCTAGGATTCCACATACCTCTACCCATCCCAGTCTTTTTAGTGACTGAACAACCTTGGCCGTTACGATGGAATGGTCACACTCGCTGTGTGTTATCTGTGGTGCCAAGATTCCATATAATAGTCCGAAGGTATCCTGGCAAAGGGACTTCCGCGCAGGTGTGTATCTTGTGACTTTTTTCATACCTTTTATATTCCCTAAATTAGTGACGACTGTCTCAGGAGATGTTGAGTTGACCGTCCAATAGTGAGATGTGATCGAAACTCTGGACTAGAGGGGAGGCCGTTCTTGACTGGGGTAGGTGGCTATGTGCCACGAGCTATAATACCCGACTGCGCCGCACCTTCCGCAGTTGAGAGGCGATGGAGTGACGAAGGCCTTGAATTGTCTGCGGAAGATGTCTTTCCCCCTCTCATTGGAGAGCGACTGCGTCCACAGCCTGGATTTCTCTTCCACGAGGTCTGCTGGGAATTGTTGATGACTCGGTTAGCGCCCCGATCCGTTCCCATCGAGCGGCTTTACGATATCTTACTTTCATATCCGGCGAACAGAAAGGGATGGTTAGACTGGGGTCACAATTATGGCGGGCTCATGGATAGAGCTCCTGAGGGTTATCCGTGGGAGGATGTCTCCATTGTGGGCTTTATTAAACGATATCTGGGAGACAAGAACTCACCCTTGTCATTGGCAACGGCGAACCCTATAATTGTTCCCGAGTTGAAGCAGGCTCTTGTGGACTCTCAAAGAACAGATGTTCTGACGGCACAGGCCTCTTTAATAGCACCGGTCTTTCAGAACGCGGCGGATTGTTTTCAGAGACTGCCGCAAGAAGTCCTAGAGCTCATCCAGGTGCTTCTCCCCTCTCACAGCGTCGCCAATGCCAGGCTGGCATCGAGGTCCTTTGCGAGTCTACCTTTCAGTCAGACTTTCTGGGCCTCGAGATTCGATTGTCATCAGGAGCGCGGGTTTTGCTTCGAAGCGACGGATCCGTCATACAGTAGCATCGCTGAGCAGCGCAATCGAGACTGGAGAATTCTTTATGATAAAACAGGCCTACTGTTGATATCTTCGCTTGAGATGAAGAATAGGAAACGGATCTGGGATCTACTCGAAGACCTGGCAGATCTTCTGGAAGAACACTTAAGTAACGATAGCTTAGTCAGGACGCTGCAAGCCTTCCCAGTAAAGTCGTCTAAGGCATGGAGACCCATTGGAGGAGACTTCTCTGCGCAACCTGCGGACCGCTTCCCTTGCGGTGTAAAATGCAGGGAGATATATGAACAGACAGTCTCAATCACAGCACAGATCCGAGCTATTAAAATTTCCTTCCGGCGTTTCAGTGGACAACAGTACGTCTCAGGTATACGGTTCATTCTCGAGGACCATCAGGAAGTCACTCTGGGCTACATTGTGAGGACGAACGAGAAAATGCTCGACATAAGCGCCGGATGCTACCGAATAACCGGCTTCATCACCGCCGTCAGTCCCCGAGGCATCATGGCCCTACGTGCTGTAACAGACAAAGGCGACGTCTCATCCTGGGTGGGATCATGGAAAGAGAACCCCCAAACTCTCCGATTATGCATGAAAGAGACCGTCCATGAAATAAAGGGTTGTTTCGATGTGAGTGATATATTAAACCTAAGCCTCTTCCACAAGCACACAGGGACGAACCTACCTAACAAAACCAACCTACCACAGGGCTTCAAAATGGTCTCCCTAGCCGTTCCGTCGAATCTCAACCCGCTCTTCCCCTCTGACTCCAGGGGCGAGCACCTCCCACTCCGTACAACGGGACTCTGGTACCCAGACATTCCAGCACCTTCTCGCCACCTCCACGACGGTACGTTCACAGGCCGTCAAATCCCCCTACATGAATACCGGCCTCTCGTGCACATCATGTTCGGCGGACTCAAGGGCCATATGCTGCAATACCTCACCCGCATCTCAGTAACAGTCTCGAAGACCGCAATCGTCGGAATCGATTTCTTCTACAACGACGACGCACCCGTCAAATGTCTCCAGGCTTGCCCGGCAACCGCCACGGGCGACTACACAACTAGGATCCCCTTTCCCATTGACGGCCCGGCTGGTGAGCGGTTGACGGGGATCCAGGCCGATACGGGTGTCTTCGCGAGTGCGCACGACTGCAGCGATCCTTACAACTACGGCGCGATCGCGTCTTTGAAGGTTAGGTGGCCCAGATCGAAGACAGTGTTTATCGTCGATGGAGCATACTATTGACTACGTACATGTCACAGGTAACCACGAACTTCAAGCCTGTTCCCTTCACCTTCCAACCGAGTGCTATCCTGCAGCTGAGACTCCCCGTTGGTCCATGCATCCGCCAAAGATCCAAAAAGGCGGAGATAGCTCCTGGGATGACGTTAACAGGGATATACTTCATGCATGTGGGTGGTCATTTAATGGAGAATTCTTTGTGCCAGCCAGCTGATTTATTCTACGTGGATGACCAGGATCCAAAATTCGGGATGTTAAGCATGGGATGTATTTCCGACGATCTCACTGCAATTGAGAACGGACTACACCAGAGTCTAGACGATGAGATAAGGTGTCGAATCATTGGATGAGGTTATCAACCTGGTGCTTCGACTCAGTAGTGATATTACTGACAGCAGCTGCTACATGGCACGTTTAGCTGTTCAAAATAAAATGCTCAGTCAAACTTGTGGGATTCTGATGCAAATCGAGAGAGTATGCTGACCCCATAGGTGTCAATTTGTGATTCCTTAAAAATGTCTAATAGTGTTTTGTAGAGAACGCCCATGCCCGAGCTGCACTGTGAGATGAAAAAAGAAACAAAGAAAATAAACAATAACTACCGCTCTCAAGATATGTCATGACGAAGTGAGATAGTGCGAGGCAAGAGACGAAACAGTTGAGAAATTGTAGAAGAAACACCTGGAAGCGAATACGACAGCGGCTTCTGCCAACTGTTCGTGTCTGTCTTCCCCTTTCGTGACTCATGGGACGAAACCCGATAACTGCCCAGAATGGATGAGACAGTATATATTCGTTGGGAGTGACCAGAGGTGATTTCGAAGCAGGCACTCGTCTCATCCGCGAGGACAAATGTCCCCTGCAACGGGAAACTAGTATTGAGCAACCTGTCTATGCGGAAGACTGGACCTGTCAGATACAGGGTTCGGCCGGCCCTATTAATGGCATGCGGGGTAGCCTGTGATTTGAAGGCGCAAGGGTTGCTGGGCAGCAAGGAGAGCAGCCCAGAAACTGACCACCATGGCGCTCAGATATTGATGGCGAGAAATCGATCTCGTAGAGCCTGTACCGTACCGTAAAATGCTTCTCGCTTCCGAGGAATACCGAAAGAATATGCACTTTTGAGAAAACGTCACACTTGGCATCAATCGGTCGAAATGGGCTCGGAGATGCTTGGCGGTAGCATGTTGCAAAGGCCAATTTCTTGGCGAGTGATCGGTGGAACAATTAATAGCTTTGGGCCGATACGTGTGCGGGCTAGAACTATTAGTGACTTGTGCTCCATGATGTGACGAGAGACGGATAGGCAAGGAATAGACCACAAGCGCCTCGGCAATGTTGCACGAATAGGTGGTGATCTTCCTTGGCGACAACGAAGTGAAGCAAGGGTGAACTTACAGGACTGCTTAACATGTTACTCCGCTCTTTCCTGCCCTTCTTGATATGGTTCTTCAAAGCAGTGGAATCCAGCGGTTTGAGTAGCTCAAAGCTACATAGCAACTCCCCCGACACTGACATAATGGCACCCCAATTATCAAACTCGCCACAGTACTACAGACGCCAGTCAGCAAACACTGTATTCTTCACAAAAGAAATGCAAAAGGAAAGTTTGGTACTCACGTTAGGAGCTGAGAAGACAGTGACTAAAATACGGTCCTGATAAAACTCGTACCCGTCCTCGACCACCATATGCGCGCGGCAGACCAAGTCGAAGTCATGACGCTGCAGAAAGTTCATGATGACCTTTTTACCGAAGCAATAACTGACACCGCGTTCGTTGGGCTCCCAATCTTCTTCCATGTCTGCTGGGTCGCTCCACAGGAGATCATTAAGCAGGCCATAGTCAGGTACGTCAGTGGGCCTTGCAATTCCCCGAATATCATCCATGTGAGAGAGACTAGGGGACAGTCCGCCATGAACACAAAAGATCTTGCCAGCGACGGTAGCAGCGATGGGAAGGCAGTTGAATGTATCGATGAAAGTCTTCCAAATCTTGATGTTGCAGCGCCGCTTGCACTCATCATAGAATCCATAAACACGAGTGACGTTGGCACATTCATGATTACCGCGGAGAAGGAAGAAGTTCTCGGGATACTTGAGCTTGTAACACAGGAGGAGAAGGATCGTCTCCAAGCTTTGTTTGCCACGGTCGACATAGTCGCCTAGGAAGAGGTAGTTGGAAGCGGGAGGAAACCCACACATCTCGAAAAGTCGAATTAAGTCTGTATATTGGCCATGGACATCGCCCACGATTTTCACAGGAGCCGACAGCTCTAGCAATGCAGGCTGGGAGAGGAAGAGCTCCCGTGCCGCTGAACAAATGGCCGTGATCTCCGCATTCTTAAGGCAAACAGTTTTTGTGACTTTGGTAGAGTAGCCGGCGTCGAGAAGTCTCGAGATCATGTCATCAAGGTCGATAGACTTCAGAGCACCCATTCCCATACCTGGAGATCCAGAAGTCTCTAATGGAGCATTCATGATGAAGTCCAGGATAGGATTCAGTTGGTTCTCTCTTTTGATGAGGATCGACTCGCCGACTTTCTGGGTCGATGGGCCCGAGGGCGCAGCCCCGGAGGGAGGTACATCGGATACATGGTCGACCTCGCCACTCTGCTGCATTGCATTGACATCTTTATGGCCTCGTTTCAAGCTACTCGACAGGGAAGGAGATGGAGGAGGCTGAGGAGCATCGGGTTGAGAAGAGGTATCATCGGGAGAGTGGACGCTTTGGTTGGTGGAACTGCGTCTACTGGCTGTCGACTTGACTGATGCTGCGTCGGATTTATCGTCCGACAATCCTGCAGTCGATCCTCTGGGACTGTCGCTACTCCGAATCTTGGACCGGATGGAGCCGCGAAACGAGCGAAGAGACTCCTTAGTATCGGAGCGAGAGAAGGATGGATAGGACTGCAGAGAGTCGCCAGGGCCAGAATTGCCCTTGGAATGCGACTGACCCATTACTGCAAGGCGTGGATATCTAGATCCACAGAAACGTGTCTATTCAAGACGATACGAAGTTCCGTGCTCGCACTGGGATGCTCGGGCCTGTCTTGGCCTGCACGACGGTGCTGACGTTATAAGATATGATGGAAATCCGCCTGTGAGAATCGAACGGAGAGTATGCCTTCAAAGCGTGCTTGGAAATAGTTCCAGATGCGGAATATTGAAATTCCCGTTCGTTTGCCGGCCGATTATTGTCGGTATAGGAAGAGGATTTCCACAGCAGTTGTACCGACCGTTCAAGTCAAGGAAGGAGGAGGGGAGTTTGCAGGAACCGACCGAGAGGAGAATGGCATCACAGTACAGTGTCCAAGCCACAGAGCTAGCTGGTCGGAAGGAAAGCTCCGATTCGCCGGTAAGAAGCTTCTTCTGAAATATGTGAGTTAGTATGAGCGGAGCATGGCAATGAGGGACAGGACACTGGGGAACTGGGCAGGTGACCAACAATGAAACACTACTAGGGCAATGGTATGTGTGCGGAGGTGGCTGGAGAGGATTTGCGTGACGGGATGAGTTTTGAGTTGCCTTAGGATGGAGGGGAGGAAGAAAGAAAGGATTGCAGTGGATGGGGAAATACTGCGTCATTATGGGGTCTGTGATGGACGGAGATACGGTACCTGGGACTGGAGCAGATCAAAAGGACGAGACGAACCTATATGAGCCTATGAGGCAGTACAGCTCGACAGAGTATGAGGCGAAGAAAAGAGTCTGAAGCCGTGAGGAAGGTAGAACGGACTGAAGAAAGGGAAAAAGAGTAATTTTCTCTGTTCGTAGCAAGTGAGTTGATTGTGGCGTAGAAGAAGAGGTCAATAGGTGTACTAGTACGGAGTAGGTACCACTTCGTTTGCTGGGATTTGCTGGGCAGCAGATTGTCACTCTCGCCTTCTCAATCTCCAGGCCGTCATGTTTGGGTCTCGATCATGCAGCGGGTGTGGCATTCCCCGGATCATTTGTCGGCCCGGATAAGCTCGGGTCTGGGTTTGGAGCGCCTAAAGCATATTGAAGAGTTGCCTCAAGTCGATGATGATGGTGATACCGTGCCTAGTTCTATAAATAATCCCGAATACAAACATGGTTACTCCATAGATTCTCCATGTTTACCTTTGTCCGAGAACTAATTTCCGACCATTTATCAAAAAAAAGTCATTAGCATCATCACATTGACAGGCCCGCTGCTTGTCTCACGTCGAAGAAGAGAAAATGAGGTAATGGTGGCCAATCACCAGCCATGTCTCATTGTCATCTTTCCACTTCTACCTTTTAGACTCCCGGATACTGCTGAGCCACTCATCAACAGCGCCTCTGGACGCCTCGTGACTGGCAAGTGTGGAATTGAATTTGACCACATCTCAGCACGGACAACACGATCTCGTTTTCCCCCTCTTTTCTCTTGGCTTGGCGGGTTTTTCCAGCGTTCTGGACTTTGATTTCTCAAAGATCTGAACACATTCTACAAGGGAGATTTGAATTCAGTCTGGAGAGCATGTGATGGGTAGTATGAGTCAGCCGTTCTCTAGCATATAACTACCTATACATCACAGTCATCTAATGCTCCTCCCGATTATACCCATTCTGGATGCATTATGATTGCTTGAAGCCCTTGATCGTATCTCTCGGGTCGGTGAATATGTATATGCTTTCGGGGGCCACCGAATTATTCTCGCCCCACTAAACCTGGCTCAGTCAAGCTAAAGTGACCATACAAAGCAGACAAGCCTGGACCAAGCTATGCCGCCAGTCGCCTTGATCAATAAAGCTAGCTAGTCAGTAGCAAGTTGCTTTGTGACTCGACAGGTTTTGAGTCCCGGGCATTGAACGGAATGAATAGGAATCTTCCTCAGTTCACTGCAGGAACACCGCCATTTCGGACCCCACCCCGGGCCAGCGCTGAGCTGACTGTAGCTACTATTGCCAAGCCATATGTCCTGCGCCAAGTGTTCTCCTGCTCTGTCTCCCAGCCACGTTGTAGTCATATAGATCATGCGAGAGGCTGCGTTGGTTACCCTGCAGGCGTCTTGGCGGCGAGCGATGATATCTGATTTGTGCACTGCAGGAGTTTTCAAGCAACAGGTCCGATAAGCTCCTCGCTGCAGAATACGCAAGAATGTTGCACAGAGCAGTTCACCACGCCCCTCCTTCGAGGGTCCCATAACTCTCATAGTCCCCTTCATTCGTTGTAGAGCCTTGACCACGCGACTTGCGCCGGTCAAAATCGGAGAAGCTGTGGCAGACAACGTCCGCGTATGGCTCGACTTCACGAACATCGGATATGCCTGATCAAAGAGAGGTGTTATGACTTCCGCAATGTGTCTCGGAGACGGCTCTGTTGAGGGGTTTCCTCAAGTTCAATTTTCGTGATATGCTGCCCAGGAACAACGACAAGACCGATAAACCGACTGGTCATATCCACTGTGACATTTTTCGGCTCAGGCTTTGCTTCGATTTGTTCGTTATTGGTGTTTGCCGTGGCATCCCTGATGGCTGATGGGGAGGGAAAGCGATACTCGTACGTGCCCGCGAGGATAATGTTTCTTTCCTGAGAGACATCAGCCCCAGTCAGCGATTGCTCGTAATATTCCCATGATAATATTTGCCCGTGCCTTTCTTCAAGACCTGGGAACCGGGACATGACAAGGCCATGGCGCACTCACCGCATCTGTACATTTGAAAGTGCCTACAAACATGCGCGTGTCTGTAGTGTGCACCCGTAATGTTTGTCCGATCAACGATTCCAGATAACGAATAGCCTGCATTTCCTCCATGATTTTATGTTTCGCCACTGTCTGACAAGGCGAAGACAGCAGTTTCACCTTCAACTGCGTGGGTTCGACCAATGGAAGAAGTACGTTGGTTTGTTTTGGCTGCTGAAGAAGGAATAACGAAGGACCGTTCTACGCGCCAATTGGTGAAATAGTGGAGAGGATTGACCAGGTCCTCAGGCTCGCTCTTCCGGGCAGGAGAATTTGGTTGGCTTTCGCAAATACTGTCGATCGGCTGACAGTGCCGGATAGCTAGTTTGCGATGGACTGTCAGTCAGTTGTTGAGCGAAACCTGAGGCTTTCAAGGTCTCCGCCTCAGTGTGGTCGCATGTGACACATCACCTCACCGTTCGTTTTAAGACATAGATACCAACCTTCATAGTAAACAACAAACAATTCTCTACTTCAAGAAAGTAATATGATAATACAGACTACTCGTCTCATTTGATTTTGATTACTCCTTTTAGGTTTATTTTCGATAAGTATGATGTGGTTATATTCAGGCTTGGAGGTGTCAGAGAGATGTGCATCTTGGGCAGAAACCAACCTTACAGCTCCATGAATAGATCAATGAACGGTCAATGCCCGGAGTGAGGGTGCTTAAGCGATCAGGATAATGCACGAAAGCGGTCAATCAGACCTATATGAAGGGAAAACTGGCAGATACATGGCAGCAGTGTCTCCGGTCGAATGTTATAGGTATCCAGATAACCAAGAGAAGGTTTATATCATCGCGGGTATTGGGAGTCGCTGATACGCTCCAGTTGTGACATACGTACGGACAGCCGATTCGAAGGAGATAAGACAATCATGCCCACGCCAGAGCTCCAGCCCATCTCTTCGAATCTTGACCTGAATCGTCGGAACTTGATTCCATGCCCATATCCGCATGGGCGCTCGCAAACTGTAATGCTGAGCTACTTGAGCTGCTCTCACTTGACATGCCTGGTGAGGCTATACTATGATTGCAATTGTGCAGGAGAATGCTCTTCGACTGTGAGGTATGGTGCGTTTGTCGGTCTGCCGTGTCATTTGAATGGGGAAGAGAAGCGGAAGCGTGACATGTTTGAAAGAATTTATGCAAGGTTTGTTGGCGGGGGTCGGTGATTTCTGATGGTGGTAGTGGTTCTGAGTCCATGTCTGCGTCTTCATCCTCATCCTGAATGACCGGCGGAGCAGGTCCGTGTGGGTGCTTCTGAGCATTGAACAACCAGCGGAGAGTATTCTCTATAACCATCAATCAACAAGGCTGAGGTATATGCAGCGTAAGACCAGGCCTGTTCTTACCATATACCACTTTCTCATCTGGTCGATCATCTCTGAAACGCTTCCGTGTTCGGCTGTGAAGATGTCTTGGTGAATCTTCCACCATTCGCGACGGCCCTGCGACAACTGGCACTGTATTTATGGGCGACAGCGCAGAGAACGAAGCTTTTCGTTTGAGAGACATGGCCCTCTAGTGCGCTGCAAACAATGATCCAGAAAGCGAGGTCGTCAGAGTCTCCGCGCTGCCAATCGGCCGCTTCTGCGAATGGCGAACTTGTAGACCAATGGAGAAGAAGTATCACGAAGAAACACACGCCAGCGCGAGTTCATTCGCAGAAGAGAAAGAAGAAAAGTTGTGTGTCCACGAGGCTGGAATGCAAGGGGTTGCTCGCGAGCACATATGCACGGAAATTGAGAGTGGTTGGCTACGCAGCGCGTCCTGGCGATACAAAAACTCGCGTCATAATTGGTGTGCCAGTTACAAAAATGTACGCTAGGCCACATTGAGATTAATTGGCACCATGAGGGAAGACCCAAGATTGTGACATTATAAGAAAAGAAAAGACTAATTGATACTCAAAATAAGATAAATGGGTAGTAAAATGATGGAAATCAGGCATTGTCTTCAGGGCTGAGTAATTTTTGTCTGGCTGTCTGTCCAAAGTCAGTTACACATCCTCATGTAAGGTCTCCGAAGTCACACGAGCTGTTGCACAATTTACTTCGTAATAACTCATACAGCCTCGAGTCGCAAAGAGAGTCGAATGTAATAAGTTAACGGAAGGAGAGACATTTCCAAAATCAGAACACAAGCCGGTCATTCTTTTAACGAATATTGACATATGAGAATTCCTAATGACAGGGGTAGGCAGAAAAGCTGCCTACTACATATCTCTATCAAAACCGGCGAAAGTAAAGGCGGACACGCTATGA